GGATAATATTTAATTCCTGTGCAGATCTTTGTAGAAATCACAGAGAAGTAGCACATGTTGGACAGTTTCTGTTTCCCCAGAGAAGGTGCATTCTATTAGTGGAATTTTGATACATTTGTCTTGTAATAATGCCAATGATGGTGCATGGTGTCTGGCTCTGAAGAAGTCCTTCTTCAACTTGAGGGAGATTTAGCCTTGCATTTGGTCCCTCCCTTTGGTATAAAAGAACCTCTGGGGATTTTGAAGCTGCTTGGACAATGTACTTCTGGAGGGCTTTCCAAGTCCCCCCGTGTATGAAAGACCACACCCAAATATTTAAAGCAAATAAATGGTGATTATTGACTGTGAGATGCTGGATGATCATAAAAGCTCGCTGGTTGTGAAGCTGTGATAGTCATAAATGCAAGACTAATGACTTTTTCAGTGCAGTCATAACTTCAAACAGTCACTAAGCAAGGCAGTCGTTTAGCAAGGTTTACCTGTACAGGTAGTATTCAACATACAACTTTTTCCATAAAAGCCATGTCGTCATAAGTCGAGACACCCACATGTCCAGATTTTATGACTTTTTTATGACCATCATTAAGCACCATGGTTGTTAAATAAACACAGTTGTTGTTAAATGAAGACATCAGAGCTTTTAAATGAATCTATTCCTGTGGGTGTATTTTGCCAGAAACAATCCCCGAAGGCTAAAAACTGGCAAAATATAGAATAAATTATGTTGCTATGACCACAGAACACTTCAGCCAGCTGTAAAAGTGAACAAAGTTGCGAAGTGCTTGAATGTGGCTGTAAATAGTTTTTGATGAGTCCATCATAATTTCGAGCAGTTGCTAATCGACTGGTCATTAAGCAAAAACTAGCTATATTCAATTCTATTACTATTTATTTATCTGAGTTCTTTGGTTTTCTTAGGATTACTAATATTGGTGGTAATTTATAATCAGCTTATTCTGACTATTCTGGATTATTATCCATTATTATGGATCCCGTAGCCCAGTGATGGTGAACCTTTTAGAGACCGAGTACCCAAACTGCAACCCAAAACCCACTTATTTATCGCAAAGTGCCAGGGCCGCATCAGCATTGTGGTGCCCTCCAGGGGTGTGTGTGTGTGTGTGTGGCTGCAGTGATCATGGCAGACTGGGTGGGTGTGGCTGGGGTGGGTGTGGCCACCTCAATGTTGCTTGTGGGGGAGATGCCTGTGGGGGCCGGGCAGAGTTGGGGGAGATCCAGGGGGTGTCTGGCAGGTGGGGCGGTGGGCAGGAGGCTCGTCCTGCAGGGTGAGGCAGGGGGCAGGGTGGGGGTGCCATTGCTGCGGGGCAAGGCAAGACAATCCATTTGACCACTTCAGAAGAAATTGGTGGCCCAGAAGACTGTCAGGAACAAGTTCATTGTGAGTGATCGCCTGAATTTGGCAGCCAAATTTTGCCAAACTTGTCCTGGGACTTGATAAACAGGATTTGTTCAAGATGTCCCTAAAAAAATGGAGCAATGATTTTCCAGAAGAGGAGGGAGTTTCTTTCTTTAACTAACTTAATCAGCCCTTGCCACTCTTCCTTTGTGGCTCTATTTGTCCCTCAGGAGGGATTTACGCCGTTTTTAAATAATTAATTAACAGTTGAAGATGTTCCATGGAATGATTTAATCTAAACACTTGGTATGTTATCTTGAACTTATCCTTGAGATGTTCATGCTCACTGTTGGTGTCTTTTCCTAAGATCAGAATGACTGGGGAAGTCCCTCTCACTAGGCCTATATAATGGTTGTACTCATTAATGTGTTGCTCATAAAGCTCTAAACAGTCATTATGAAGTTCCATTAGTGGCATCTGAATCCCTATGGTGACTGTAGAGCAGAATCCCTATGGTGAATATAGAGCAGAGCATTGCAATTGATGCTCTTAAGCTTATTTCAGTTCTTCTAACATGGATGACAGAATTCTGGTTTTATAAGACTGGGACAAATTTTTACATTTTTTAAATCTCATTAATAAGTGACACTCTTAATATTACAGATAGTCCTTGGTTAACGGCAGTAATTGGGGTTAAGTACTCTGACAGTAAATGATGCAGTTGTAAAGGTGATGTCACATGACTGCTGAGTTATGACAGTTGTTCCATCAATTCCAGTTAGAGTCATTAGGTAAATCCCACACAGCTGTTAAGTGTGTAGTCACATGACCGCCATTTGCAATCTCCTGCTGGCTTCCCCAATGACTTTGCTTGTCAGAAGCCAGCAGTAAAGTTTACAAATAGCAATAGCACTTATATACCACTTCACAGTGCTTTACAGCCCTCTCTAAGCAGTTTACAGAGACAGCATATTGCCCCTAACAATCTGGGTCCTCATTTTACCGACCTTGAAAGGATGGAAAGCGGAGTCAACCTTGAGCCGGTGAGAATCGAATTGCCAAACTGCAGGCAGCTGGCAGTCAGCAGAAGTAGCCTGCAGTACTGCATTCTAACCACTGTGTCACCATGGTTCATAGTGGTGATCACATGACCGAGGGTGCTGGGACAGCCATAACTCTGAGAATCGGCCACAAGTTTCCTCAATTGGTGTTGTTGCAATTTTGAATGGTCACTGAATGAATGATTGTTATTGATTGTGGTTCTACTTTCAGATCATATAAAGGTGAATCTAGACTGTTGGCCATCTATCTGCCTTATTCAGAATTTCTCATAATTGCAGATTTTATCTTATGGCTCTTTTAGGAGATGAGTTTTCAGAATTCTTTTTGGTTGACAATGATATTTAAAGCACTGGGAGAAAGTTCAATCAACTGTGTACCAAGTTGGGTAATTCAGCCTATTTCAATAATAAGTATTGCTGCTGAGTGAACAGTGAGCAGTTTTCAATGTACCTCTGTATGTTGCAAATAATAAACGGAGAGAAATATATGCAAAGAAAGTTCATAATTTGGAATAAATGTTGCAAGTAACCTTTGACTCCTGGCAACTGTCTAGACCATGGGTGTCAAATTCACCGCGTCACGTGACACGTCACAACATATCATGACTTTTTTTGCATTGCCAGAGCTGGGGTGGGCACGGCCTCCACAGGATGCAACCGGCCCACGGGCCGGCAGTTTGATACTCCTGGCTTAGACAAGCCATGCAGTTTTCTTGGCCACATTTTTGGAAATGGTTTGCCATTGCCTTCTGCCTAGGGCTAAGAGAGAATGACAGGCCCAAAGATGCCAAATTGGCTTTTGGTAGGGTGGGGAAAATATATACATACAACCACGCACAGACACAATTTTAGAATATTTATATGTTTTCAATCAGCACTTTTTTCCTTTTAATTTTTTTGATCTCCCTTTGAGATTATTATATGCAGTCATGCATTTTAATTATGAGATAAATTCTTGATTATTCAGCTAATTATTTTCCTACTTCATAATTTCTAAATAGTTTTGTTGAAAGTAATAATTATTTTTGCCATAAAAATAACCAGAAGTTATAGTATTGTGTTGGATGGGTCAAAAAATTGCTTTAGCCTAACAAGTCATGGGTACAAGTCTGGGGAAACTAACATCACTTAAAAATAATTTAAATTTAATTGAGTGACTTTGGTCTGTCATTTCTTCTTAGCTTGGAATACCTTATATGGGGTTTTAAGGTCAAAGTGAAAAGAGCTCCTGATTTGCTAACCTGAGGTGCTTGAAAATTTTGAAATGAATGCAGCCATAAGCTTTTTTTATTTTATTTTATTTTAAAAGTCAGTCTAGTAAAATTGAAACCAAAGTGAATGTATTGAAGAGAAAAATCTAATCAGTGCTGCAAGCTGCAACATTCAGGAGATGGGTAGAGATATCCCCAAATATTTGAGGAATATAGTGATTGTAATGATCGGGTTTGTTTTATCAGGTTCTGTCTGTGACATACAATCTGTATTAGGCAATATGTATACATCAGTCGTTAGGATTTTTTTAAATCTAAAATTATTGAAATTAATTGGTGTATAACTTCATAAAACTCAGTTGCAGTTATTTTTGCTAACTGAATATGAGTCAACACTGGATTTGGTTGAGAGTTGAGATAGAAGTCATATGGAAGAGATTTATGATTATGATTCTCATTTGTTCAAATAAAAATAAATGGCAGTTACTGGGACCGCTTGTTAGTCTGGATTTGAATGAGAGCATCCTAACTCTTCCTAAATTATTTATCTTAAACACATGCGCACACATACACCATAAAAAGTTACTTGCCCCAATGAGGATACAAAGATAGACCAAAATTAGTCTATAAATGCTCTCTGTTTGGGAAAAACTGACTTGGAAAATGTTAAGCAGTTTGTCTTGCATAATTTCTGTGACTGCCAACTACCATGATTTCAATTGCACCCAATTGTACACTCTGCAGCGGCCACCTCAAACTCCATTGTCCTCACCTTCTGGGTGCACCAGTTCCTTGAGCACATTTTCACACCCTCCCTACCCAGAATCAGCCCCACCCCAAGCCAGCCCTTTGTGCAGCTCCCTGCATCCGTCCCCACCTGGCAGAAGCTGCTTACCTGTCTGTTTGTGACCCATCTGAGACTTGCAACTTTCTGCCACTTCCCCACTGACTTCGGTTGTTGGAAGGCAGCAGGAAGCTGTGAGAAAGTCCTCACTTAATGACCCCTGAGCTAGCAATGGAGACTGCCAGATTGTAGTCACTAAGCAATGTGGACACATGACATTGCACGTTGTGAACACGTTGCTTAGCAATGGAAGTTCCAGTCCCAATTACTGTCGTTAACCGATGTTTACCTGTATGGTATTACATTTATATGAAAATGTAATAATTATTTTTCCTGTATTCCTACATTTGCTACCTTGGTCCCTAGAGGGTTGGTCTCTCCTCTGCTGCCTTTCCTTTGTACTTCACAAGAGAACATAACAAAGCAAGATCACAGGATCTGCTGCAAACTGGCCTGCATGGCTCCCTTTTAAATGACTCCAAAGGAGACTTGACCCCAAAGTTCATGGTGCTGTTTTGGTTCCCTAGGCAACGGAATGGGGCTCAGATGAAGACACCAGGAGATCCTGTCAAAGTAAAGGAAAAACTGAGGTAAGTCTCTTATCTACTTCTCCATACGTATGAAGACTCCCATCATTAACATTAATGATTTCATGTAATTGTTTATGGGGAATTTTCACCTGAAAAAGTGTGGTGCAAGATGTTTAAAAAGAGAATATTATAACAAAAAGGTAAATAATATGTGTTACTTTCTAGTGGTACATTTTCAGATTCTGGTTTATAGTTTTTTAGGAGTGTTTTCATGTAAATTAAAGTTAATCTCCAATTTTTTGGAGCAGACTAAAAACAATGGATTTCTGTGGGATAGATGGGTGCTAGCAAAATCTACTTGTAGGGTTTAGTTCATATTTCTGATTCAGAGTTAGTTTTTTCTTCTTCTTGTGCCATATCCGTTATCGGACGTTGGCGATCCTGTTTTTATCAGCAGCCGCACGGAAAAGTGCTGCTGAGTTTTGTTCAAACCAATCCCTTAGATTTTGAAATTACAATGTTCTTCTTCTGCCTGGACCTCGTTTGCCTTCAATCTTTCCTTGGAGGATTAAATGGAATATGCCGTATTTTTCTGGGTGTCGTATCACATGTCCGAAATATTCTAATTTTCGTTTTTGAATTGTTTTGATGATTTAGGGAAGCGTGCTTTTGGACTTAAATCACCATGGTGGCCGTCCAACCAATTCCTTGTCTAGTGTTTCAATTCTGGTTCAGAAAAGTTACAAGGTTCACTGAATACAGTTCCTTGATTTGAATAAAATCTGTGACCTGTGCCTTTGTTTCCATGAAATGAGCCATTTGAAGTTGCATGGCATAGCATCTCCCCCTAGTTGGCACATGAATGGATCCTCTGCTGGACATATTACCAATGCTTCTGCTCCAAGCCTCTTGGATCTTTCCTCATTAAAAATCAGATGCCTGGTTTATAAGTTAACATGAAGGGGAAAATTTTCAGCAACTTGCACCCCAAATTCAAAACCACTTTACCACTCAAAACAGCTCAGTGGCTAAGATTGAACTCTTTCAAGGCAGAGTTGCTCCAACAGAATGACAACAAAACAAAATTTCCTCTGCCTGAGCAAGTCAAAATAAGTCAATTCTTATCTTCTTAGTTTTTGTTTTGGTCCTTATTTTATCAAGGTGGAATATAGCCCATATTCTCTGTCTTCCTAAAAAAAAAACTGCACGTAAACTTCAGCAATAAAGCAAAAACAAAATAGAAGAAAAAAAAAGTGATGAATTCTTTTGTATCTTCTGCAAGTTGCACAAAACTGATTAATAAAATTGTTCATCTGAAGAAATAAATATAAATATCTGAGAACATGTTAATAACAGTGTTTTTTTCCAGCCTGCAACATACCCAAAATAAAATTAGGACAGACAGCAGCAAATATATTAAAATTGTCTCTTTATTCCTGAATGAATTTCCTTTGAAAAGACAACGGAACATAGCCTATTTCCTCAATTCTTAGACACAGCTAGACTTTTAAGTAACTCTGGAGATTAGGCTTGGTAATATACATTGATCATAAGATGGTGATCATAGTACTGCAATTCAAACCCAGCCTCCTTTGTATGTGCCTTGGCATTTCCTGTAGATACAAAAGAACAGAGTGTCACTCACAATGCTGCAACTACCATCTTTCCTGTTTTGACATACAACTCTCTGTGTATACCACTGCTACTGCTGCTTCTTTCAGAGATGTTGCTAGAAAACCCTTAATGGTATCTGATCTGAAACTGCCAGCCCCAAAATCCCACTGAAAGTGCCATCATCCAAAACCCTGCAACTCCAGCATGGAACTCATGACTATCTCTTTTCTCAAGAAACATAATCACCATTTTAGTTTGTCACCCTTATATACAGTTGCAGCAATCACGGCAGCAGTGCAATGTCCTAGAAAGATAAGAAGTTTTCTTGGGTGAGCTATGAGAACTTAATACATCTGGTCTAAAAATGTAGTACCAGTATCTGAATTAATAAGTGTCATTTGTCTATGGACTGTCAACCAGAGTGGCAATGACATTCTAATTTCTTCCTCAACCAATGTCCTACTAATTAGGCATCTATACTCTGTTGAATTCTTGAATGCCACAAAGGAACCTATAGAACATAAAATGTAGCATTGGACCCAAAGATAGGATCCTTATTTAGCCACCCTTACACTGACCAGACTCTACTGGAAGTGAAAACTGAATCCAAGCTCCCAGCTCAATGACATCATTCTGCTCCTAGGAATTAGTTGATATTTATTAGGATGTTAGAATGATATGCGGTGGTTCATTCTTAAAAGACAGTGTTCTCTAATTGACTGTCTCTAAAATGAACAAAGATGAGAACAGCAGTTTGTTATACTTTCTTTTGGAGAGAACAAAGTAAGAAACTAAATCTTCATTATCTGCTTCTTAATACATCTTTCTAAAGTCCTGATGAGCCATCAGACAGTACTGAACTACATGGTTCAGAGGTCCAAAGGCCATAAGACAGTTTTCTAAGTATCTTGTTAGTTTTCTTATTATTAGGTAAATAGGCAATGGTGAAGAAGTGTCTTGCAATTCTTAATTATGTTTTATTGAGGTCCTATTTGCAGTGAGGTTCTCCAATAAACTGAGTGCTGATAATTTACAAAATGTATTATTTACAGAAGAAAATTTAAAATTAGTGTGACTCGGCAGAAGAAAAAAATGACAAATTTTTATGGTAGTCCAAAGACCAGCCAACTTATTAATACATATAGCAATAGCACTTAGACTTATATACCGTACTTCTTCATAGTGCTTATGTCATGGTTCCGACAGATGAAACTCTTCAAAGTACTTTGAGGCATTGTTTACCTTAAAGAATCTTTATTCGAGCAGCATAGCATCGGCACATACGTAAGCAATGCCAAAATCTGGATTCCCCTCCCCTTAGCACATAGTATCAAAACACAATTCCCTCCTCTAATTAACTGTCATAAATCACATTCTCCAATTAGTTTGAAATGCAGACTTTCTCTCCTGTTCTAAACCTGCCATTTCTTATCATTTCTTATTTCAAAAGCCTTGAATTCACACACTATTACAATATTGTTATATCTAACTAACTCCCATCACATTCCTCCTCCTCCCCCAGTATCATCTAATTCTAAGAGTAAAGCATAAGAAAGAAGAAGGCTGCATCTCTATATGTTGTCAAAGCAAGAACATCCAATGTTAGCAGCGTTGACAGCTTTACACCTCTCTACACCTCTCAGAGTCAGCATATTACCCCCAACAATCTGGGTCCTCATTTTAGCAATCTTGGAAGGATGGAACCCTGAGTCAACCTTGAGCTGGTGAGAATTGAACGGCGAACTGCTAATAATTGGCAGTCAGCAGAATTAGCCTGCAATACTGCATTCAAACCACTGCGCCACCATGGCTCTTATACTCTTGAGTTAATTTCATCAGATGCATGAAATTATACATAGGCTTGAAAAATATAATATATATTTGTGGGGGATATCTCACCATGCCCCATTATGTCCCAGGGATCTATTTAAATGTGTACTGTCTAGGCCAAATAAGTCAGATTTTTACTTTTGAAAATTGACCATGACTTTGGTTTGATTTTTAAACTAAATTTCTGGTTTTATCTCTGTCCATTTTATTCTTTACATTTGAAGAACTGTTGTTTTCATAAAATCTGTATCTCCATGCCAATGCAACCTAAATATTTATTATTGCAAATCTCTTTCCTTGAAGAAGACACAAGTGGAAAAACAATCTTGATGACTATCCAGCAAATTGTGATTCATAAGTAACATTGGGTATATAAGTTAAATGGGTATTGTTGGCTTATACTCAGCTGGGTAAGCATTTCAATCAAGTACCAGCCAGATCCTGATATTACAGTATACGGTGTACATTCTGAGTCATAGATTTGAACTGTTTATGGATAGTCCAAACTCAAGCCAGGCTAAATCTGTTTTCATAGAAGTGAGTGTTCTAGAATATTATGGAGCATCAGCCCTTTTATTTTATACACCAATCATTGCTATTTAAACAGGACAAACATGCGGAACACGAGGACAGTAAAATTGGTTATTGTTGATTATTAATAGAGTTGCATTTTTATTTTCTGCCAATGTAAACGATGATTTGTAGGGAGTATATGACAATATCAGAGAGAAGAAAAGACCAGACTGAAACGTTTCTGATTCTGATAAATTATTCCACTTGCAGTGGGTTTGGAGGAGAATTAACTGGATGAGATCATAAAACTCAGCTCCAAGCATACATACTTTTGTTTGACATGACTTCAGTTGCTAGTTCTGTATATAATAACCACAGCTTATCTTATTCTGAAAGATAATGTATTGAAGCTTTGCTTCCAGGCTGAGAGAAATTTCAGATCTGATCCCTGTATATCTGATCAAGACATAATGGGAATGAAAAGTAAACCAAGTGAACCTCTCCAAGGAAACACTGTGATCTTGACACACTCATTCTATGGGCTCCCCAGGCCAACTCTGACAGTTCACATTCTGCTATCTGCTGAAATGAGTGTCTTAGTTTCCTTTGTGAAATATATCCCCAAACAACAAGGACATCTGACACTTTGTGGGCCACACATGTAGCCCTTACTGTAGCCCTTAATGTTTCAGTGAAATCATTTCCACTTCCTAAATGAAAGGAAGTTGTTGTGATATCTGTAATCGTGAAAGATCTCTCTCTGCCTGCTGCAGGATGGTTTGGAGTGACTGTGTATTAACAAAACCCCAAATGTTTTTCAAGAATTGTTTCACATCATGCAAGCTTCTCTAGCGGGAAACTGGAAACAGTGTTTTTGACCTTCTGGAATAGCTGGTTCTTTAGTGGCAATCTCTTTTTGGTGTCCATTTACAGTCTCCAGATAATGAGAAAGAAATTGAACATAAGATAATTTGAACAAGTTGTATATATATATATGTGTGTGTGTGTGTGTGTGTATGTGTGTGTGTATATATATATATATATATGTGTGTGTGTGTGTGTGTGTGTGTGTGTGTGTATATATATATATATATATATATGAAACTTAAGCCCTTTCCCCAGAAGCTGCACAAATAGAAATCAGAGACTGCAGTTATTTCAAGGTAGAGGTATTTAAACAAGACGAAAACAAAACCTCTGACCCATAAAGTATGGCTGCAATCAAAGTTGTTGACATTTCTTTATAGGAAAGCTTAGAGGGAAAAACAGTAAGGCATATTTTTAATCAGCCAGCTAATTTCTCTAAAATGGTAGAGAATAAAATTTATATAAAAGCTGCTATAATTTATGGGTTGGATAGGAAGTCTCTGTACATGGTAATTGAAGTGTTTTTGATTGTGCAGTTTCACCAGTGTTGCAGTTCCTATATTTGGAGATTTATTAAATTCCTGTAAAATAGACTATTGAACAAAGAGACTGATCATACTGAATGGAATATGGTGATTTTCCTCCCTTGGTGATTGGATCATGTGATGTCTCACATTTATGTTTATTTATTTTCTTTATATTTCACACTTCTTCACCGTCCCTCTCCCCCATAGAGGGGCTTTGAGTTTTGCCAATGGCTTTGCCAATAGTCCAGTTTTACGGAATATACTGCAAGTGGATTCTTAGTTTTATGAAAATGAATTTTCCTGGCTTGCTCCATACTGAATATGTAACAAATGCTACAGCAAAGATTTGTTTTATATTTAACTCTAGCTTTACATACATTGCAGTCTGAATTAAGTGCAATTCAATGTTTCTTGCAAATACTTTCTCTTCAAGTGATTGCAACCCTTAATAAAGAGGACAATCTGAATCTACCAAATTGTATTTATTCTGTGTGCTGCATGCTATATATTGTGTATCTTTTTTAAAAATAATCTAAATAAATGGGGTAGGGGAAGATTTGAATGGTATTTAACATCTAGTCATTTCACACTTGTGTGTTCTAAAAATGTCTGGGATTACTAGATTTAAAGTAATGGAGGGGGGAGATTAATAGGCTTAAAGTTCATTTTTTATGAAAGGCAAACACTCAAAAATCAGTGACCTTGATGTTTTCTAAATTACTTTTCTCCACTTGGGAAAGTCCGATACATAATTCTGAATATATCCGTCTTGAATTTAGTGTTTTCTGATCACTTACTTGTTTGATATCATTAATATTAATATCATTTACAATTAAAGATAACATGGCACATATATTTCTAAAAGTTATGCTCTATAATTTACCATTATATTTCTCCAGTTATGCTTATTCAGTGAAAGACAATTGGTATAATCTTAGACGCATTCTCAACTGTGTTATTGTAGCATGATATTTACAACAGAGTGTGAAATGGAGGATATGCAGAATTCTTGAATGCAGCAACAGCATGCCAGAGAACTCTGGAATATTCTATTTTTCCCCAAAGCATGCTCTTCAGTGGTGCAGAAGTGGTTGCTGGAAGTAAGTCCTCCAAACCAAAAGCAGTTGGAGATATTCTGGACATGGCATTCTGAATAAAACAAGCTTTTTTTTTCCAGAGCTAGAACACCTCTAGAAATTACTAAATTATAGAAGTAATTACACTGTTATTCAGAATGCTTCATTCCCAGATCAACAGCAGATCCCAGATACAGATCAGTTACAACCATTGCTTGGAACGAAACCCCAACAAGCGCCAGCTTAGATTGGCCATCTTTCTGTAAAGTGTCTTTTCTTGTCTTTGCTTTAGGAGGAGTGCCAAAACTATGTTCGTGTTCTCATTGTTTATGGCAAGAAGGTTTTCACTTGTGGCACAAATGCTTTTTCACCAGTGTGTTCCAGCAGACAGGTAAGTTGTACCCTTCCCTTTTCAGGATGTGCCAGAGAATAAGAGTGGAAGTATAATAAAGGATGCCCTGTTTCTTATAAGTCACATTAGAGATGAGATAAGGTGTTAGTGTTGCATTAATTAAATTTAATAGGTGCAACTGTAAGAGAGAACAAAGAACAAATAATAACAAAGGGCAGCATACATTACAATACAAAGATGACTAGTTGCATTGATTGACATTAAAAAGTTGTAAATAGTCCAGGTTTGTAGTTGGAATATCCAGGTGCCAGTATCCTGTGGTGTACCTTTTTTTGCAATATAAGCACGTATGCCAGTTCTACTTGCTACTAAGAACTACATCTGCATTCATTAGTTTATCATGCCTGTACTGTTGTATAGAGCTGCATACAAAGTGCTCTGGAAAATGTTGAAAACTATTCTTGGTCCAAAATACGTCAGACAAATATTTAAAGTGAATAAAAAACTAAATTCAAAATGTAGGATTTCATAAAAGAAGCGTATAATTCTGTTGCTGGAACTTGCTTCCAGTGGTTTCTGGGTAAACCCAGAGCTTTGCAATAGTCAATAAGGCCCTTCAGTTTTGGACTGTCTTAGCTAAAGGGTCCCTTTTTGTAATATGATCTGGCTTATTCCTGCTGTCTTTAGCAGAGGCCCTCTGTGTGTCCCCAGAAGCAATCTTGCATACTTGGAATCATTGAGTGTATCTCCAGGAATAGGACTTTCTTCAGAGCCCTGCCTGAGGAACATGCATCCTTTTAGTGCTGGGCTGCCTTAACAGAGGAATAGAATCAAGATCACGTGAAGTGTTAATACCACTTTACAATGCCTTGGTAAGGCCACACTTGGAATACTGCATCCAGTTTTGGTCACCACGATGTAAAAAAGATGTTGAGACTCTAGAAAGAGTACAGAGAAGAGCAACAAAGATGATTAGGGGACTGGAGGCTAAAACATATAGGGAACGGTTGCTGGAATTGGGTATGTCTAGTTTAATGAAGAGAAGGACGAGGGGGGGACATGATAGCAGTGTTCCAATATCTCAGGGGCTGCCACAAAGAAGAGGGAGTCAAGCTATTTTCCAAGGCACCTGAAGGCAGGACAAGGAGCAACGGGTGGAAACTAATCAAGGAGAGAAGCAACCTAGAACTAAGAAATTTCCTGACAGTTAGAACAATTAACCAGTGGAACAACCTGCCTCCAGAAGCGGTGAATGCTCCAACAGTGGAAGTTTTTAAGAAGAGACTGGACAGCCATTTATCTGAAATAGTATAGGGTTTCCTGCCTGAGCAGGGGGTTGGACTAGATGACCTCCAAGGTACCTTTCAACTTTATCATCATCATCATTATTATTATTTAATGGAATTTCAGGGGTTAGCTAAAATCTTCCATATCAAATATGAGCTTCAGCCTCAGTGTGTGAATGAAGAACTGAAATGGGTGAACTATAGTCTTTTAGGTGAGAACTTGGATGAGAAGAATGCACCGAACCATTTGGAGAAGATGAAGACATGACCCTGAGGCTGGCATAGAAAGTTAATCAATTGAGAACCAGAAATAGCAATGGAATAGATGTTTTTAGGACAATAATACTTTACCAAAGAATCCTTATAAAAGAGATGGGGAACCCTGGACTTTCCAGATATCACTGAACTATAGCGTTCTATTACTTCAGCCAAAATAGCTAATGGTGAATGATGCTGGAAGTTGTTCAGTATATCTGGAGGGCTATTTTCCCTGCCATGCCCCTTAGGTCCTGGTTGTGCATGTTTTAAAAATAAAAACATAATTAACTCTTTGCAAGGGCACAGATGTAGTGTGCTACAGCAGGGGTGTCAAACTCGCAACGTCATGTGACGTGGCCGATGTATCGTGACTTTTTTCCCATTGCTAGCAATGGGGTGGGTGCGGTTTCGCACATGGCAGATCATTAAAGTCCTTTTATCATAGTTCTTGCCCTGAGTGCATATAGCATTTTCCAGAGTTACAGTAAAGTGAGATTTTACACATGTTTTGCTTGGTCAGCTGTGCTTTTTTTTTTTGTCACTATTCTCATTTTATCTTCTGACTCCTTTTTTTTTAAATACAGGTAGGAAATCTTAGCAAAATAATTGAAAAAATAAATGGGGTAGCTCGCTGCCCTTACGACCCCCGGCACAACTCAACAGCTGTGATCACATCCCAGGGAGAACTGTATGCTGCGACAGTCATTGACTTTTCTGGACGGGATCCAGCCATTTATCGCAGCCTTGGAAACATCCCACCTCTTAGAACAGCACAGTACAACTCTAAATGGCTTAACGGTAAGAACTCTTAGTGTAGTGAAAAGCATTTAGTTCAACTGGACAGTCTTAGAAAACTTTATTATTTCTCTTATCTGATAAAAATCCAGGCTGAATAGAACAGAAAGAAGCCTGCTCCCAGATTGAAGGTCGCTAGCACTGATAAAATGGAACAGAAGTAAGACCGATAGCCTGCAGGGCTTTATCTTTTCTTATTCTGAAAACTGATGCCCAGGGCAGATTCTGCCAGATATTCCATTTATGTTACTACAGCTACATAAACATGCCTATCGTTCTGCTTATATCCAACTGTTTCTTACATCAAATCATGTACTGTAACTTTAAAAACTTGATGACCCATGAAACCCATGTTTCTTGCACCAAAATGTCAGAATACCCAGTTTACCTTTCTATCAGGCAGAGATAAGAGGAGGCAAGAGCTTAGCTGCTTCCAACTGGTTGAATACTTTGTGTTATAGGGATGAAGTATTCCTTAGTTGTAAACCTATTCAAACAGAGGTGCACCATTATCTTTTTTTCAGGTAACCACATTTAGTTTTTGAGGAATATGCTGAGGCGACAAGCCAAGTAACGGTGTGTCAGACTAGTAGAAGCATGAAAACAGATCTCTTTTTATTTCAATTATGTATTTACTATAATTAATTTCCAGCCATATCTTTAAGAATGTTTTTCTTCACATTAAAAATTACAATTTGCTCATATAGTAATATTTGAAGCTGTGAGGGGTTACACCCAATAGTTGGGGGGGGGGGGTTGCAGTGAATGTCTATATGGCATCTCTGCTGAAGCCACAAAGCATTGGCTTTGCTATATTTTCCTTTAGTAAATCTGGTAATTGAAGCTCCTATACAGGACAGCTTAGTACTTTCGTGTTATGTGAAGTCCCAAAGGGAGGTTTTACAATTTGTACTCAAGCATTGCAGAATGGCTGCATTTTACTTGTTTACCCAAAACTCTTAGTTTTTGCTCACACAGATAGAATAATCTGTTTTGGCCCTTCAGCTTGGCCTTTTAAATCTCTCCAAGACTCTCCCATTGCTGCTGTAACCAGATCTTTTCATCTTGTTAATAGTTGTCCTTTTGTCCTCCATTCCACCTTTCTTAGCATTATTGACTGCTCAAGAGAGCTAGCTTTTTCCCATTATGTAGATCTTTAGTAGTTGATTGTTTCCTTGCAGACATTTCATTACAAAACTATGTAACATTGTCAGTGCTTGCAAGTATGAATTCAATTCCCTGTTTATAATACAGTAGCTTGCCTACCAGTGTTGGTGGGATGTGGTTTTCTCCCTAATAGTTCTTTGATTAGGGTATTGTTTTCTGCTCAGTTGTTTCTCTGGTGTTAATCCCTGCTTATCTAGGTGCAAGCTGTTGGAGAAGATTTATTCTATCTTTTTATTTCCTTAGCTTTTTTACTGTCTTTTTAATAGTATGTAAATACATGTGTCAATTGATTGTTGGTTTGTCTGAATGCAAGCTTCTAGGAATTCTCGTGTTCGTGTGTGTGTGTTTCTCTGTGTGTGTGTGCATTTGGTTTCGTCTAGACCAGGGGTAGGCAACCTCAGTTCTTTTATGACCCATGGACTTCAACTCCCAGCTGACTCAGGAATTCTGGAAGTTGAAGTCCATGAGTCATAAAAGAACCGAGGTTGCCTATCCCTGGTCTAGAAGGCTCACAGTTTCCCAGGAGTTTGATAGAAGGGACCTGGAGTATGCCTTCACTACTAAATCTGATAGAACTAAAATCTTCCACTAAAATTTAGTTGCTCCAGATTTTAATGGAAGCAACACCTTCCCAGTGATTTTACATAGTTATATGACAAAGCTAGTACCAATCACGCTCTTTTCCCACGCCCTTTAGAAATAAGGATATCTGTTCTCCATAGTGCCACAGTGGGCTCTTCTGCATGGCATGGGCATTTGTCATGTATCCCTAATTTAAAATACTGTTTATATCCTAAAGTTTCCATGCTGTCTTGGCTTTTTAAAGTTTTTGCCCTCTTTTCATGAAGACTTATTAAATTTAACATGAAACTTTTTGTATTTGATGTGAAGTTTATATAATATCAGAGAAGTTTCTTTCATTTGACATGATATCAATATGCAACATTTTTCAAGCATTGTTAATGTGTTTGCACAATTGGTTAACTTTTTTGTGCTCTTCATTTAATAAATTTATAATACGCTTCTCTTTACATTTGGGAACACTGTATTTTAAATATGGATGAGAAAGCTAAGAAAAGGGGTTTTTTTTCTAAAATTTTAAGTGGGTACCTAGTTTCCATTGCTATGGCACATACACTTGCCAACTAGCAGATACAAATTCAGAATTCTTATCCCTTTCTTAACTATTCTTACTTAACTATTCCATTAAAAGTTGACTCAGGCAAAAAAAGTTTTACAGGGCTTCTCAGGGTTAGACTTTAACAAAATCTCTAGGGAACATCCATTCCTTAGGTATAGGTGGCTGTTAAGAATGCCATTGTGTCTATTTTGTGAAAGTACAGTCCCCTTACTGAATCTTCAAGATTGTGCTGTATTGTGAAAGACAATTCATAATGGCAGTTTCAGAATGACAGCTCTGACTCAGGCAACTTCATCTGACTCTAAGAATTACTTTTTTTTTTTAAAGAACATTTCCAAGTGTTTGGAAACAATTCCAGTGGGAAAGAGAGGAACTGGGTTTGCTGTACTCTTTGGCTGACTTATTCACTCAACTAACAAAGTCCTCTGGGTACTTTTTAAGACTGAGATGTTTTTTTAAAAAAACTTCCGGTTTCTTTTCCACCACTTTGGCCAATGTAATTTTCCTCCATCTTTTCTGGTTGCTTTTTGGCTCAGGTTATGGAGATTTGCATTTGAACAGTTTAATTTTGTTTTTCTTGAAAGAAAAAATAATCAACCATCTTATCATTTCTAATATCAAATAATTACTTATTTGATCTCCTCTGCATTTGGGATCATTCCCCAAAAGACTTACTTCAGACCTATGCTATCACCTTTCTGTTGAATTCTGCAGGCCCAAATTATTCAATAATGAAAAGACTCCTGAGACCATTTTTTTTTTTGGCAATTAGGGAAAACTGTGCCATGGTAAATGTCTACGGAGATTCTCAGTCATTCAGGTCATGGTTGTCCCAAAAGTTAAGGAAATGATTGGTCCATTAGTGGAGGAAAGTGGCAAGAAGGTGACAAGCAACAGGAAGAAAGCAGAACTACTCAACTCATTTTTTGCATCCGTCTTTACACAAAGGGAAAAAACAGTCCAACCTATCAAAAACAGTACTGTAAAAACAGAATAGAAACACAAATTAAGATAGGCAAGAAAATGGCAAGTGAGCACCTGCCCAGCCTAGACGAGTTCAAATCACCAGGACCAGATGGATTATACCCCAAGGTTCTCAAGGAACTGGCAGATTTGATCCCAGAACCACTGAACTATATTTTTCAAAGATCCTGGAGCACTAGGGAACAACCAGAGGACTGGAAAAGAGCTGATATAGTTCCCATCATCAAAAAAAGAAAAAAAATGGATCCAGGAAATTACAGACCTATCAGCCTGACCTCAATACCTGGGAAGATTCTGGAAAAAATAATTAAACAACGTATCAGCGAACACCTAGGGGCAAACAAAGTCATTACCAAAAGCTAACATGGGTTTGTCAAAAACAGATCACGCCAGACAAATCTTATTGCATTCTTTGACCAAGTGACAAAATTAGTGGATCAGAGGAATGCTGTGGATATAATTTACTTGGACTTCAGTAAGGCATTTGATAAAGTAGATCACAACCTATACTTGATAAGATAGAAAAATGTGGGTTAGACAGCATCACCACCAGATGGATTCATAGCTGGCTGACCGGCCGTACTCAGCATGTGGTCCTCAATGGAACTGCATCTACATGGAGGGAAGTGTGTAGTGGGATGCCCTAGGGCTCTATTCTAGGCCCAGTGCTCTTCAACATCTTCATCAACGATCTGGACGAGGGGATAGATGGGGAACTCATCAAATTTGCAGACAACACCAAGCTGGCAGGAATAGCCAACACTCCAGAAGACAGGCTTAAGATGCAGGAGAACCTGGACAGACTTGAATACTGGGTGTTATCTAACAAAATTAAATTCAGTGGTGAAAAAAGTAAGGTTCTACATTTAGGCAAGAAAAACCAAATGTACAGGTATAGTATAGGGGGTACCCTGCTCAATAGTAGTAACTGTGAGAGGGATCTTGGAATCCTAGTGGACAATCACTTAAATATGAGCCAGCAGTGTGCTGCAGCTGCCAAAAAAGCCAACACAGTGCTAGACTGCATTAACAGAGGGATCGAATCAAGATCACGTGAAGTATTAATACCACTTTACAATGTCTTGGTAAGGCCACACTTGGAATACTGCATCCAGTTTTGGTCACCACGATGTAAAAAATATGTTGAGACTCTAGAAAAAGTACAGAGAAGAGTAACAAAGATGATTAGGGAACTGGAGGCTAAAACATATAAGGAACGGTTGCTGGAATTCAGTATGTCTAGTTTAATGAAGAGAAGGACGAGGGGGGACATGATAGCAGTGTTCCAATATCTCGGGCTGCCACAAAGAAGAGGGAGTGAAGCTATTTTCCAAAGCACCCGAAGGCAAGACAAGAAGCAACGGATGGAAACTAATCAAGAAGAGAAGCAACCTAGAACTAAGGAGAAACTTCCTGACAGTTAGAACAATTAACTAGTGGAACAACCTGCCTCCAGAAGCTATGAATGCTCCAACACTGGAAGTTTTTAAGAAGAGGCTGGACAGTCATTTGTCTAAAATGCTATAGGGTTTCCTGCCTGAGCAGGGGATTGGACTAGATGACCTCCAAGGTTCCTTCCAACTTTATTATTATTATTATTATTGATGATCATTGCACAGTCAGCCAGATGTTCAGACTGGGTTTGGCATTTTGTCTACCTATCGAGTCCTTACCAAGGACCTGGGATAGGCAGATGTGGATGTTTGATGGTATTACAGATATCGTTGCAGGATGGAAGCAGTTCCTAGTAAGGCCGCCTTTTGCAATTGACTAATGGCGAATTTGTCAATGCCAGTGGTGTTCAAGTGGTGCTCCAGTTGTTTTGGGATTTCACCCAAGGTGCCTATTACTATTGGTACTATCCTTGCTTGCTTTTGCCACAGTCTTTCTATTTCTATTTGTAGGTCTTTGTATTTTGTTATCTCCTCCAGTTTTTTCTTGTCTATTCTGCTGTCTCCGGGCACTGCCACGTCCACTATCCAGACTTTTTTGTCTTTCTTATTGACAGTTGTTAAGTCCGGGGTGTTATGTTGCAGGTGCTTTTTTGTTTGAATTCTGAAGTCCCAGAGCAGTTTAATTTTATCATTTTCTATGACTTTCTCTATTTTATGATCCCACCAGTTTTTGCTTACAGGCAAATGATATCTTTTGCAGATCTTCCAATGCACCATTGTTGCTGCTTTGTCATGCCGCTGCTTGTAGTCAGTCTGTGCGATCTTCTTGCAGCAGCTTACCAGGTGGTCCACTGTTTCTTCAGCTTCTTTGCAAGGTGGCACTTACTGTCTGTTGCTGTCTTCTCAATTTTGACTTTATATGCATTTGTCATTAAGACTTGGTCTTGTGCAGTCAGAATTAGTCCCTCGGTCTCTTTCTTCAATTTTCCTGCTCTTAGCCATTGCCAGGTCTTGTTATTATCTGCTTTCCCAGCTATTTTTTTTAATGTACTGGCCATGTAGTGCTTTGTCTTCCCATGCCTCTGTTCTGTTCTTCATTTCGTCTTTCTTGTAGGCCAGTTTGGTCTCTCCAGTAGTCAGTAAGCCTTCCTGATATACTAATTTCAGTTTGTTTGTTTGTTTGTTGTTGTTGTTATTATTATTATTATTGTTGTTGTTATTATTATTATTATTATGCAACTGGACTTTCTTTTTTTCTTGAAGATGTTTCGCTTCTCATCTAAGAAGCTTCTTCAGCTCTTGGTTGAAGAGCTGAAGAAGCTTCTTGAATGAAAAGCGAAACATCTCCAAGGGGAAAAAAAAAACACAAAGTCCAGTTGCCTTTTAAAAAGCACTTTTGGTGCAGGTCCCTGGGATATGGGAGAATCAATGCAAATAGATTTAATGATGAAAGTGAGGTATTGCTGCTTATTGGAGGTAGCTGATTGCAAGCAAAAGAGTAAAATAACCCTAGAATGAAGATGCACTTGGCGGCAGGCTATTAGCGTATATTCACATTTGAAAAATGGTATGTCTCGTGTATGGTTAGCTGAAGGAATCTTGCAAAATGCCTTAAAATACTTGCTTGTTGTGTTTAACAGGGCTGTTCAGTTTAATGGCTGTTCATTTAATCAATTAGCTGACTGAAAAGCAATATTGAAACACTTAGTATGATGGGCCTCCCTCTGAGGCTTGCACTGTAGGAACCTTTCTCCTTTTGAAAGTGTACTTGAACTCTAGTGAACAACAATGTCACATAGCTCTTCACATCTCCAGGGAATTTCTGTGCATCATCATTAACTACAAAAACCAACAGGCAAACAAGTAATGCTACTTGTGTTTGTTGCTTCTGTTCCCTTTCACCGTTCTGTTGGCCCTGAGGCAGCTGCCTGTGTGGTTGGGGCTATGATCTCCAGCAGATTTACTTAAGATGCTCACCTGGCACCTACGCCAAGACACGGAGAATGGTGGTCCAGGAAGAAATAGGTACTGCATGAGCTAGTCCCAGATAAGAAGTATAACTGAGGATTAATTTCACAAAGTTGTCTTTTAAACTACCACTTCATAATTGTGGGCTAGTGAATGTCTAGATGTAGACAGCCACAGATGTGACCTTGGAGGAAACGTGCCAGAATGGTTACAGAAGCAAAAACACATCCTTTAAGCACAAAAAATAAGGAATGCATACAAAAGAAATTCAAATTGGCTCCATCTTAACTTTCAAGGGTACAAGAGGAAGAGAGGGGAAAACACAATCAGACTTTCTACGGCCTGTATTAATACAAGTAATCCTTGACTTGCAACAATTCATTTAGTGACTGTTCAAAGTTTCAACAGCACTAGAAAAAAAGTAACTTATGACCATTTTTCACATTTATTGACCGTTGCAGCATCCCCATGGTCACATGATCAAAATTCAGACTCTTGGCAACTGACTCATATTTATGATCATGGGGTCATGTGATCCCCTTTTGCAACCTTCTGACAAGCATAGCCAATGAGAAAGTCAGATTCACTTAACAGCTGTGGCAAGAAAGGTCATAAAATGGAGCAACATTCACTTAAATGTCTCACTTAACAACATAAATTTTGGGCCCAAAATTGTGGTTGTAAGTAGAGGACTACCTGTAAAGGAGACTTCCAGTCAAACTTGTAGAGTCTGTTTCTTGACCTGATCTACCTCACAGGCTGACACTAAGCCTCAAGTTCCTTTGTTGTGGAAGAAGACTTGGGCTGGCAGTTCATTCTTATGAAAAAAAAGTTAACATCTGTTCACTTCAATTGAAATTGAGTCCATAATCAGAATTGCCAGATGACAAACCTTAAGTATTTTCAGATAAATTCAGATGTGTGTGTGTGTATGTGTGTGTGCGTGCGCGCACATGTGTGTGCCTTCAAATAAGTGTTGATTCCTGAAATTTCTTGGACAAATCCCTGCATTTTTTTTGTCAAAATTTTTCAAAAGTGATTTGCCCTTGCCTTCTTCCTAGGGCTGAGGGAGAGTGACTGGCCCAAGGTCACCTAGCTGGATTTGTGCCTAAGGCAGAGCTAGAAATCCCATTTTCTAACCTGGTGCCTTCATCATTACACCAAATTGGCTCAAATCCAGTTCTAGCTACATGGAAAATTTGGGTGTTTTATTTTTTCAGAGATAGGAATATAAGAGCAATTCCAAGGTTTTGAGAATGACCTATATAGGGTACATGGGTGGCAACTGCAAAAACCTTAAGAAAAGACAATGTTCTTCCCAGTAGTTGAATCACAGTTATTGTCTGGACATTGTGACTGTATGTGGATGGGCAGCTTGTTTATTTTAACCTATAGAAGTTAATGTTCCTTTTGTTGATTCTTCCCCTTTGGCTACTTGAAAGTATTTCTGTACTTTGTCATTATAACAGCTTATAAAATTTAGGTCGATCTTCCCACAAGTCAGATGAGCATGTACAGACATTCAGAATCTGGGGAACAATAGGTTAAAAAAAAATCACACTGCTGAATACTACTTCTCCACAAAAGAGAAAGAAATAAAGAGAGAGAGAGAGAGAGAGAGAAGAAAGAAAGAAAGATAGAAAGAAAGAAAGAAAGAAAGAAAGAAAGAAAGAAAGAAAGAAAGAGCAAGCCCATTATTTATGAAAGACATGGTATCTGAAGAGTTTTAATCAGGGCTAATACTTGAATAAACTCTTGAATTGATAATAATGAATACATGATGTAAACCTTATAAATTAAAAAAAATCTGAAACAAGCAGAATAATTCGGTTCAGAATAATTTGATTGTGCATAAATATTTTCAGTATTTTTCCTTTCCTTAGGTAATGCATAAAATTTGGTGAGCATACTGTAATTTTTAAAAAGTATACTGTCATCCACGTATCCCATCACACATAAATCCTCAACCTAATGATTTAAAAATGAATGTACAACTCAACTCCATGAGAAAAAAAACCCCAAAGAGCGAAAATAACAGTGAGATTATATATGTTCTGCCTTTATGTTTTGATACTGATGGCTTATTTATAACATGTAACTTATCTCTCGATGCTGAGGAATCAATTATTGATGTGCTTTTAAGAATCAGACCATAACTTGCTTGTGTTTCTTAGATGTTCTGAAAAAGATCTGTTTTTCTCCTTCACGTCTCTTGTGAGCATTTGTTCTTACTTCGTATGGAAAGCTCAATTTCTTAATGTATTTCTCACTGTGTTTTATGGTTTAATTTTTCTCCAGAGCCCAACTTCATTGCTGCCTATGACATTGGTTTGTTCACTTACTTCTTTTTCCGTGAGAATGCTGTAGAGCATGACTGTGGAAAAACAGTCTACTCTCGGGTGGCCAGAGTTTGTAAAAATGACGTTGGGGGCAGATTTTTGTTGGAAGATACATGGACAACTTTCATGAAGGCTCGGTTGAATTGTTCCCGTTCTGGAGAAATCCCTTTTTACTACAATGAACTGCAAAGCACATTTTATCTTCCTGAACAGGATTTGATCTATGGAGTATTCACAACCAATGTGTGAGTTTCTTATTTCTTTTGTGTTCCCACTCAGTTGTCTTTAATGCTTTGTTGTTGTTTTTTCTATAATGCTATATTTATTTTAAGAAGTCAAGGATTTTTTTCTCCCTAAACAATTACCTTCAAACTGCCTGTGTGTGTGTGTGAGAGAGAGAGAGGTGGGGGTGGGGTGGGTCAATTGTCTTATATTTGCTGTGCCAATATCTTCAAATATCCCTTGCTGAAATGCATGGGTACCTGCAGAATAATCTAAAGATAAGCTGCGGCTTAAGAGGGCTTCCTTGCTCAGTGAATGTAGCCCTTTCTGTAACATCTAAACAGGGCTTGGATGGGCTGGTTGCAATTACTGCGGGTAAATTAAAAAATAAAGTCATTGGAGGAAGTTGGTAAAATGCCTAATGAGAATGTCTACATACTAGTAAAACTTTTCCTTCTATATCTTTTACCTGGGCGAAATGGTGCATCATAGGGCAGCAATTTTTGAACTACAGTACCTCAAATGGACTAACTCTGTAAGGGAGTTGGGAGGTTTCACGATCTGATAAATAAGTAAACTTACAGCATGAATCCAAAATCCGGAACACGTGACTCCTGAGGGAATGAAATTTGAGGAAGTTGTGGCTGCTAGTCAGGTGTTCCTCATTTTCAGTGTTCCAGGACAGTTTCCCAGACACTCGCACAATCCCTTGATTCCCTCCCCACACAGCAGCAGGAAGTGAGAAGAGAGGGAGGGAGAGAAAAACAGAGCGGAAGGACCCCTGCACACCCTTCTTGAGTCAATGCCACCTCCCATGTACCTTCCCCAACTCATGTACCACTTGCACACTTCCATGTACCCTCCCTGACTTGCACTGCCTCCCAATCTGTGTGGCACCTCCTGCACATGCTCATATAGCACTCCTGATCCTCCTGTCCCCCTGCATGCCTTCCTTAACCCATGCAGCACCTCTTATGCATCCCAATGCACCATTCTCAACCCATGCCGCTTCGTCTTCCCTGATCTGTGCAGAAGCTCTTGCACACTTCTGTACACCATTCCCAACCCGTGTCACTTACCTCAGTGCCCGTCCTGACTTGCATAGCACCTCTCATAGATCCCTAAGTACATTTCCCAACCCATATTTCCACCCACACCTTCACTCCCACCTCTAGCCAGCAGCAGCCACTTGCCTGCCTGTTGACCTTGGACTTGGAACTTGCTGCTGGCTTCCTCACTGACTTTCTCCATGCAAGCTTCCCATAAGCAAAATAAATCCCAGCAGGAATTTGAGGTAGGGAGGGAAGCTTCTTGCTGTGGGTAATCCCAAATTCATGAACCTTGGTTTTTCCGAAGGAATGAAATTGGAAATTGTAGTCTGATTTATTTGTGAATGACTCCAAAATAAGCTCTGGCTGATATGGAGAAGCACAAAGCTTGTTCATATCTTGGTGTATTAAATTGAGGTATGATTAGCTGGAAAGGATTCTTATTTGGTAACTATCCAGAGTGGATATCTCTGATGAATCAGAGAACAGTGTGTTTCTTTCATTGTTCAGTGTATATATATATGTATTTTTCTCCATCTCACCCTTAATTGTTTACAGTGCACTCTTGGTAGTAGAAAACAGGAGCTTACTGTATATGCAATTATATTTTATATTTTTCTTTAACCTGAGAAGAAAAAAAAAACATTAGACAACACCTTCAGAACTGAATAGACAAATTATTATTGATAATAGTTGAAGTTAGATCAAATAAGAATGTTGTGCTGTGACATAATGTTCTTTCAAATATTCAGAGAAGAAAAACTGTTCCAATTTGTCAGTCATCTAGACAAACAATGGTAATTATTCTTTTAACTTTTATCAGGACTTGTGTCATGCTTGTGCTTTCTGCATATAAATTAAACCTTGTGTTCACTCCAGTAATATGATTGATACATTAAAGGTGCCTTATTTGTATCTTAAAGCATACTTGCTTTTCAAGAAGGAGGAAAATATATCTATACTCACAAATCTTGAAGCTTTCGCTTAATGAGGTCAGTAGCAATTTCCAAACAAAAGCAAAAGCAAAGCCCCAAGGCTTCAGCCAATTTGGCGCTCTTTATTGTGGAGAAATGTGTTATATTCCAATTTATTGTATATTCTTGCATAATACAGAGCTAGGTCAGCAGGAAAAAAAGGTATTTAGGGAACTAACATATGAAATATTTAAGCAGTTGTTATTGAAGTTTCCAGATGGGTCACTGAAAAACATTTACAAGCTTTTGGATATGATATGTTTTCTCTCATTGGCCTATTAATGATTGGCGGGCCAGAAAATACAGAGCCAGTCTGCCTTTTAAATGAAATGGTGACCAAATATACCCATAAATGCTGGAGAGGGACATGCCGTGGTTTTTCGCATGTCTATTGCTTTCCCAACAACCTGCCACTCTCATCTAGTGTGCCAATTCTTCAGAGACCCATATGACACAAATGTGATTATACAGTGGACAAAATGTAATAATAGTATATCAGAAAAGTCTTTCTTGGATTTCCTCTATATGTTTAGAGCTTTCTCGCTTCTTGGATTTCCTCTATATGCTTAGAGTTTTCTCGCTTCTGACTTCATTCTCAGAGCATTTCTTTACAATAACATTTTGCAAAATGGATTGCAAAATAAGTTAACTTGGGGCCAGGGCATTGCCTGCCTAGCTCTCTATTTATACAGCATTAGCCAGTTGTCAGTTTCATATCAAGAGTCACCTTGTAGGGGAGATGGGCGGCATACAAAATTAATAAATAAATAAAATAAATTCAATTAAGAGAATTCTGAGTGAGTTTCTGTATTGAAGGGGAGTGATTTAGAGCAGTGTTTTTCAGCCTCAGCAACACGAAGATGTGTGGACTTCAGCTCCTAGAATCCCTCAGCCAGCATGCTATTTCAATGAACATGGACTCAATGAACAATGAACATACATCCAGCATGCTGGCTGGGGGATTCTGGGTATTGATGTCCACAAGTCTTCAGGTTGCTGAGGTTGATTTATAGCCATTACATAGAGTCGGAAAATGCAATTTTTCATGGCAAGGGATCACATTTACTTTTTGAAAGGCATGCTGATTTCTAAAAAGTTATCTCTAAAACTGTTTCCCCCAAAGAGTGGTAGCAGGGCTAGGATAAAAACCACAGTTGATTTCCTTCCCATTTGAATTTTGATGAAATTATAGGATAACTCTTTATGTATTTAATCAGTGTTCTCTGTCATTTTAACAAAGCATTTCTTCAGAACGTTCTCAGTCTCGAGAGGCTGCAGGCACAGTTTGTGGAAGCAAAGTACTGCCCAGGTTGATTTTAGAGGGCAAAAGTTTAGCTACTTACATGTTAATATAGCAGCTGCTGCCATCCTTGCTCTTCACTATTCATAATCTTAGTATATCTAGGAAAATGGTTCTTTGTGAGCTGGGAAACTAAATTATATGGAGAGACCACATTTCAGGTGATTTGCTCAAGAAGTGTAGTTGCCTAAAGATGTTGAGAATCCTGAGAACAGAATCTTCCTCACTCCGAGTATGTGCACTGCTTATGGTTCCCTAAGACAATGGTAGTACTGAAAAAAAAACCAGATGCCAACAACCAGAGCATAGAACAACTCAAAGAAGTAGTGGAAGATGTGGAGAGAGCTGGCCCATAGAATCTCCAAGAGTCAGACACAAATGAATGGATAACATCATCATCATTGTTAAAAAAGCAAATATTTTAATCATAATAATGCTTAGCCACTCAGTAAGATGGTTTGGAATGCTTTGCATACTGTAACACTACAGTACTTTTATACTTCAGTGTGTCTTTGTCACATGAAATTTTGGAATGTTTGAATCAGCGGAATATCTGTTTCTGAATCAGTTGTTTTCCGGTAGGCATCCTTGTTTATTGTTCAAGCTCCAGTTCTGCATTTTACAGCCCACAACTGCTGTGCATGCTGACAGAGTTGTCACTCGGCCCAATATGCCAGATCCAAAGACATAAAACTGTTGAATCATCCAAACATGAACTTCTGCTATGAAATTTGCTGCAAAACATTCAGTGGTTTGCTTTAGAAACCCCACTCCAGCCTCTAACCTTGCAAAGTTTTTTTTTTTAGACTATTATTTTGCATCTCCTCTTGTGCCTGAAGGCATTAGGTTGTCATTTGTCATTAGCGTTGTCTAAAGAACGGCCTTCTGTGAACATGCAACATGTCAGTAACACTTAGGCTGGAATGAAGAGAGGTTCATCATCATGCAGTGCTTTGAAAAGTTCACAGCCAACTGCTGCATTGCTCAATGGAATGGGAGGATGTCTGGGAGAGGAAAGCAAGCCTGCAGACTTACTCTTTTAGCAGCTGCTTTTGCTTTGGCAAGAAAAAAAAAAGGGAATCTTCTGTTCAGGTACAGATCAAGAAAGTTCTTAAGGTGTTTTGATGATCCTGGAGGAGTCTTCCTAAAAAAGTGTGGTCTAACCCCTTTGAGATGAATGTTAGACTCATAAGCCGTTCCTGCAGCGCATGCTGGATGTTGCTAGGATACTAATTCAAACATCACACAAACTGCATTCATGCTTCTTAACAGGGGTAAAGAATAATAGCAATGGATGTTTACATTGTTCCCCCATTTCATAGGATCTCTTTCTCTTTCCTTTTGACAGGACCAGGAGGGTCCTTTTTAAATATTTTGCCCAAATACTTGTTTCCTGCGTAAAATCTCACAACCTGGAATGCAGTTGTTCCCAGTAGTAAAACATTACCAGTTTAGTAAAAATTTGTTCTTTTCATAGAAGTCCGAATTATTTCCAGTAGCGACACAATATGAAAAGCAATCATTCAGATATTTGCACAGCAGGATGGCATGCTGTTTTGTGCTGTTTTGAAAGGGCCTTCTGTATTTTTAGACACTTTTTGAAAACTATTTTGAACTCCACGATTCCTCCTTGTCCTCCTTTTCCCTACTACTTAAAATAACACTGAAATGTTTTGAATCCTCAGTTCGGCTCTACAAGTCCTTTGTCTTAAACTGATACTCTCCAAATTATAAAATCTCAGTGTCAGCTCTTTTGTAGATTGCATTTGAATAAGGATAGCATATCTCAAATACATTGAAAAGAGAGAATGAAGAGAATATTATGTAGAAAAGTAAAACAGACCCAGCACAATTGAAAACTTATGTCAAATATTTTGTTTGGCTTTCTCACCTACACTTGTATTTCAGCTGTTAGTTCCAATCTATTCTTAAACCTCAAAAATGCACTTACATATTGTAATGGCTAAGTGGTTTCCTTTTCCAACTATTAATCTGATAATGATTGACATGTGCATTAAACAAAGACCACAAAAAAGTGACTGCACTTCTTGATTTTAATGAATCGACATTAAGGGAAACTGAAGGCATATACCTGGAGATATAAATATATTGTGAAAAGCATCATTTCTTTAAAGGGTTGCTACTCCTTTTAGTTAGCAAAGGAAGAAGTGAGGCTCTGTAGGGATTTTGTTTTGAAGTCATTTGGATATTGAAAAATCTGTACCAGAAACTTTTTGAATGTACAAAATATAAAGGAACATTTAGTGAATAATGGATAACCTGGGAATAATCAAAACAATGTTTTAGGAGACTTGGTATCCAATAAGGCTTTGCTAAGATTTGGTTTGCTTCAGAGTTCTGCTTCAGTAGATCATATTCTAGGTCTTTGGCATGTGTTCAGCTGCTTCTTCCCAAAAGTTACCTATTCTGAAGTTCTGATAGATAACTACAATATTAGGTAAAAGATTAGACAAGTTCTGATTTCCCTATTCTTGACATGTCTTGAGCCTCTTATGCAAATAGAATGGCTACTTTAATAGATGTGGCTGGACTTCGTCAGAGGGTGAATTAATATCTTGCAGTGGAACCTGTGGAGCTTAAAATTAAATCTCACCTTGAAAAATAAACTAGAGGTTTAAAAATTAAGCCCACTTACCACCAGTCAGGATTGATGGGGTATCAGTATTAATGTTCCTTGTGAATTAAACTGTGTGTGACTTTCCGTGTCAAAATTGCTTTTCCCAGTCTTAAATCACATGAGGTGTTCAAGAGGGACTTTTCAACATTTCCTAATTGTCACCTCATCCATGTAGATTCTTTTCATCCCTTCTGAGGCCTGTAGCCTTGTGTGCTGCTTCTTGGCAATCTATGTGCCATTTATTTTTCTGAGATTTGATGTCTGTTATGATGAAAGTGTCAGTGCTCCAAAGATTAAATTGATTTTCTTCCTTTCTCTTCCCTTCTGTCCTTGTGTCTAGAAACAGTATTGCTGCTTCAGCAGTGTGTGCCTTCAATCTCAGTGCTATTACACAAGCCTTTAATGGACCTTTCCGTTACCAGGAGAATCCAAGATCTGCATGGCTCCCAACAATCAACCCAATTCCAAATTTTCAGGTATTTTAGGACAATTTCAACTCACTCAGAACTTCTTCTGTTTCATCTGTGGTAAAACATTGTAATCAATCAGTCTTTTATGTTGACTAGTGTTTCAAGTTTGGACATAAAGAATTTAAATTTATGTGGGTAGGTGGCATGTGTGAATTAGCGGATAGGAACAGAAGCCTTGATCTGACTGTATATAAAAGAGTAATAGAGTGATGCTATTTGTGTCATTTCTTTGCTTAATATAGCCAGGAAGAAGGATTACAGGAGATATTATTCACTTATGTATCTATTTATCTGTTAGGTTTATATCTCCTTTTTCTTTAGGAGTTTGAGCTGACATAAACAGGATTCCCAGTTCTATTTTCATTTCCATAACATTACTTTGAAGCTGATTAAATATAAAGATAGTGGCTAGCCAAAAGTCATCCAGTGATCTTTGACAGTCAAGTGTAGGCTTCAGTTTCGCAATCTCAAATCTTACAATGACACCTAAATGTTTTAGCAGTAAGGAAAGATATACATTATTTTCCCATGTTAGCATTGTCCATCTCCAAGATTATATTTTTTTGACAGTAAACCTTCAATTCTATTCAGTACAATACAATTCAGTTTATTGGATATGGAGGCTGCCTGACTCCCAAAGATTTGGGGCAATTTACAATATTTAAAAGACCGCATAATTGAAAAGGGAGCATGACCACCTATACAAAAACACATAAATGGCCTATAGGAAAAAAATTGCCATCACAGTTTTGTTCTATAAACAGTCTAACCCCAGGCTAGGAACAAAGCCAGGTATTTCTTCTTTCGTGTCTAGATCAAACTTTAAACTTCCAGAATAAAGCCACCTTTGTCATTGGCCAAAAATAAGTCATTATTAGTACATGTTTCTGGTAGCAGCCAACATACCAGCAGATGGGCCGGGCTCTGTGTCTCTCCACATTCACATAGCCTGTTGTTATCCACTAAAAATCTCCACTTGAGCATATCGGTTGTATATTTAGGCATTCCAACTCTCAATCTATTTCAGGGTCCTCCAGGTAGTATAAGGGAGGTCAGCCATATCCTCCTTTAATGTTATTCCTTGCTTGATAGTCTCCTTCCTCCATCTTTTAAGTCAGTTTTGACAAAGCCAGGTTTTAAGAGACTTCAAGAGTGGAAACCATGTTTATCTTCAGAGGCTGCTGTTCCAAAGAGTTTCCTCAGCTCTGTGATATGACTATTTAATTGAAGTGACCAAGTGTCTATCCATTCTGCCTACTTGTACCACTGTATTGTATTTATCAGGTCACTTTGCATATGTGAGGATTCTGGTAACTCAGCGTTGCCAGTTATTGCCAAGGTTGTGTTTCAGCAGAAGACCCACAGCTGACCTGTTATCAACTGTGTGCTTGCTGCTCTATCCCTACCTGCTGCCTGCCTTTGTGGAAGGTGGCTGCAGACAATAGCTTGTTGATTCCATTCCTGTTTTTTATGCTAGATACCTGTCAGATACCAGTTCACTGGAGGTGTGTTATGTTACATGCTCCCAACTTAAGTAGCATTGAGGAATATTTTGGACATTCTGTAGTCCTTTTAAAAGAATAAAATTTGCACTGCAAAAGAAGTATGAGAAGATTACAAAGCCAAGGTGGGAATCTTATAAAAAAGAATGTAATAATAGTAGGTAACAGGAATTTTTTTTTTAAAAAAATAGAGAATGTTTCAAGTAGAGAAGAAACAGAAGGTCAATGAAGCCTTCAGGAGATAGCAAAGATAATATACTGGCTGGAAAAAAATTATTGGAGAAAAAATTAATTCCTCACATGCTTTCAAGCAGGACATTTAATATAAAAATGTGAGCAGTTGAAAAATGCACAAGCAATATTTATGTGTGTGTGTGTGTGTGTGTGTGTGTGTGTTCTTCAGAGATGAGATATGTAGGATAAGGAGATTAGGGATAACACTTCATAAACAAAAGGTACTTACAAATGAGTGACAGAACAATTTATTCAAGAATATTTTAGGTAAACTTTAAAATAATTGAGTTAAATAATACGAGACTAAATACCTTTGTTCCTTTCTTTTTGTGTTCCTTTCAGTGTGGAGTACTGAATGATGATGGCCCCAATGAGAATCTAACAGAAAGGATCCTGCAGGATGCTCAGCGCTTGTTCCTAATGAATGATGTGGTGCAACCTGTCTCTGTGGATCCATATGTTACTCAGGACAACATCCGTTTTTCCAAATTGGTGGTTGACATTGTTCAGGGCAAGGATACACTCTATCATGTGATGTACATTGGGACAGGTGAGTGTGCTTCGTACCAGAGGAACTTTTCTTATCTTCCATTGGTTCAGTTGATCATCTAAATTCTACACTGAGGGTTTTCAACAATAAAAATGCTGTGAAAATTGACCTTTTGTTATATCAATATCAATAGCACTTAGACTTATATACCACTTGGCAGTGGTTTACAGAGTCAGCCTATTGCCCTCAACAATCTGGGTCCTCATTTTACCGATCTCGGAAGGCTGAATCAACCTTGAGCCAGTCAGGATTGAACAGGGCTGACTTAGCCTGCAATACTGCATTCTAACCACTGTGCCACCCCAGCTCCTATGAATATGAGTACTAGCCTTAGGAGTAGGATATAAACCAAACAAGAATAAGAGCTGATTTTAAGAAGCAATGAATCCTGAATGCAACATATAACTTTAGTATAACAGTTACCCAGGATTCTAGGGACCTTATTTTTTAGATTATTTAGATCACCTTTTGTGACCTTCTGACAAACAAAGTCAACGGGGAAGCCAGACATGTTTAACAACCAGGTTACTAACTTATCAACTGCAGTGATTCACTTAACAACTGTGGCAAGAAAGGTCGTAAAATGGGACAAAACTCAGTTAACAAATGTCTCACTTAACAACAGAAATTGTGGTCGTAAGTTGAGGACTACCTGTATATAGTAAGAGGATGTCTGATGGATTATTGTAATAGTAGTAGTAGCAAGTAGTTACACTTGCCTCATTGTATTAAGCTGTCTCATGAAGTAGTATGGATATCCCCCCCCGCCCCTTCCTTCATGGATATCTTCAGGTAGAGGCTGGATAGCTATCAGTCCAAAAGTTATAGCAGATCCTGTATCAAGCAGGGATTGAATCCGGGTTCCCCCCTTTCACTGCATCTGTGATTCATTTCCACCAAACTGTATGGTTGTATTCCTGCAGTTTAGCTTGTCCCATTTTTTCATTTCTAGCCTCCCTTTTGAAAGAAATACACCTCCCCAAAAGTAAGTAGAGCCTTTACCAAAGGTTAATGGAGAAGAGACCCACTATAAAAAAAAACAGACTCACCTAATATTTTCCCAAATGGGATTTTTATGAATAACAAATGTTTTCTGAATAAAGGTTCGATTTTAGAAGAGATAGCAAATAGATAGCAAGGTATTTACAGTGTAAATATCTCTATGTTATCAGCTTTCTTGTACATACACCCAGGCTCTCAGATAAGGAATATTAAATTGCTTTGCCCTTAACAATTTAGGTAAAGCATAGACAGTTTATAGATTGTAAGAAGCATATTTGTGCTATTAGGAATATAGGAACTAAGGTAACATTTTGGTGATTTTTCAGTGTTCAACAGTTGGTAGAAACTTAATTCATTAGTCATACTGGCTGAGGCTTTGGGAATTTTAATTCAAAATACATATAGAGCACTAAATTGCCTGGCTTTAATATAATCCTGCTTGGTTTAACTTAATATTATCTATTCTAATTGGCAAAAACTCTCCAATGTATTAGGTAAAGATCTCTGCCATCACTGATTCTTCCCCCCCCCCCCCCGAAATCGAACTTGGACCTGCAAAGTATGTATTTTGCCATGCCTTCTATATCTCCTTTGACTAAAACACGCATATCATACAAATAAACATTTACATAAAAATCCACATACATATACCTCTCCTCTATTGGTACATACATATACTTAAATTTATTCTTGAAAACCACAGAACCATTTTCAATTTCTCTGAATTTAAATTTATTTTAATGTAGTGATTAGTAGAAAGGCTTCCATGTCCTTAATAGTTGCTAATTTAGATTGTTGGATGGTTGTACATTCTGTAGTTCACCTACTTCTGGTGTAATCAGTGAAACTGCCTTAGTCATGTGACACTTGTTATTAAGCTTTAAGTATTAGGTTGATCGTCACTGTTGGCCTTTTTTTATGATAGAAGAACCTGAAAAAGTCCCTGAAGTATTATAAAAAAAATTACTTTTGTTACGGAATTCAAGATGAACATTTTGGCTAATCATAATTTATGCTGTGGCTCTATTTAAAAAAATGATTATATATTAAGAGAACATTGATTTTATGTTAGGATAAATGGGTCCTCTAAATGCTACTATAATTTACTCCAGGACTACACAATAGGATCTCGGAGTCCTAGTGGACAATCACTTAAATGTGAGCCAGCAGTGTGCTGCAGCTGCCAAAAAAGCCAACAAAGTGCTGGCTGCATTAACAGAGGGATAGAATCAAGATCACATGAAGTGTTAATATCACTTTACAATGCCTTGATAAGGCCACACTTGGAATATTGCATCCAGTTTTGGTCACCGCGATGTAAAAAAGATGTTGAGACTCTAGAAAGAGTGCAGAGAAGAGCAACAAAGATGATCAGGGGACTGGAGGCTAAAACATACAAGGAACGGTTGCTGGAATTGGCTATGTCTAGTTTAATGAAGAGAAGGATGAGGGGGGACATGATAGCAGTGTTCCAATATCTCAGGGGCTGCCACAAAGAAGAGGGAGTCAAGCTATTTGCCAAAGCGCCTGAAGGCAGGACAAGAAGCAACGGGTGGAAACTAACCAAAGAGAGAAGCAGTCTAGAACTAAGGAGAAATTTCCTGACAGTTAGAACAATTAACCAGTGGAACAACCTGCCTCCAGAAGCGGTGAATGCTCCAATGCTGGAAGTTTTTAAGAAGAGACTGGACAGCCATTTGTCTGAAATGGTATAGGGTTTCCTGCCTGAGCAAGGGGTTGGACTACATGACCTCAAAGGTCCCTTCCAACTTTATTATTATTATTATTATTATTATTATTATTATTATTATTATTATTATTATTATTATTTTCTTGAGTTGGGAAAGTCATACTGTGTTCGTATGATAAAGGAGTGCTTTCTAAACATGTGAAACTACAAATAGTCTTCACTAGAGCATTTTTTTAGAACCATTCAGTTCCAAACACAATGCTCCTTTTCATTGGTTTACTCATTATAATATTCAACATGAGAAAGACTCAAGTTTACAATATAGAATACAGTGTCTGTCTTTCTGTCTGTCTGTCTGTCTGTCTGTCTGTCTGTCTGTCTGTCTGTCTGTCTGTCTGCTGTCTGTCTGTCTGTCTGTCTGTCTGTCTGTCTGTCTGTCTGTCTGTCTGTCTATCTATCTATCTATCTATCTATCTATCTATCTATCATCATATTTGTCTCCCACACAATCAAAACTACTCTCAATTAACATGATACCAAAAAACAATTTGAAACATCTATGGTAATTGCAACAACAATATAAATCAAATCTCAATTGTTATTAAAAGTACAATTCAAAATAAGGTGAAAGAATTCACAAATAAAACAACTGTAAATAAATAAACGGAATTGGTTGCTCTCCGGAACCTCTCTGTCCTTAGCATCTTTGGGAATGCAATCAGGGAAAGGGCCAGCCTGATTTCTGCAAGGAGACTTTTCCAGAGAAGGATAGGTAGATAGAGATGGCACTTTGTTCACTCACCATTTGTTCCTTCCTCCAGGGAATACATAAGGTTCTCTGGGGTGGTAGCTCTTAAGAGAACAAATCTCTTTGTCTCTCAAGCTGTGTCTCTTAATTTAATTGCATCTATCCACTCTGTTTCTTCCAGGGAGGTGTCTGTGCCAGCAATTTACTGTTTAGAATGTGGTTTGTTCCATTCCAATTTAACTTTTAATTAGGTCCAGCAACAATCTAAGCAACAGGAGCATAGATGCAGAGAAATAAGTTTCCATAAATATCTTGGACCATAAATGTATAGTTTAACCTTATCTTCTCCTCAAAGGACAGAACCCTTCCTCCAATCTCTGAGCCCCAATACAGAATGGATCATCTTATCCCGTGACCCCCAACTTTACTCATTTGATGATGAACTTTGACAGAAGCTTTCTGAAATGCCACA